GAGTCGGATGGTGGAACCACGAAGTCTTGGAGGCCTTGGAAGATGATGATTGGCGATCTGGATCGGACATTTATTTTCTTGGGAGCGAAGGATGATGGCGTATGTCCCTGTCGGTGCGACTCTCATTCAAACGAACCACGGGAGGCGGGACGAATAAATCAAATCATCTTTTTTCCTGGATATTGTGCGAATATTTAGCAGCATCAAATGGTTGCGGACTTGCGCGCGCTGGTTCCCGTTCAAGGCTCTCAAACAGAGAGCTATCGATGGGCCAAGTGGAGGAGGTCGGTGGCAGTGTTACGAGGACTGCGCGGCAGACGACATTCCTGCGATCGCCGACGAAGCGAGGTCAATCTTGATAATGGGCATGTCGTTAGCTGCATATTGTGCTTTTCTTGGAGCTTTTCTGGGACCATTTTCGAGACTGGTTGGGCGCGGCCTCGGCCAATTGCAGAAGAGGGCTCGCCGTTCTGGGACGGGTTTCTTGGGTTCGAGCTGCTGAATGTTGGACATGAGCATGAGACGGGGGTGGGAGGGTGTGGAGGCAACTGGAGGCCGGGCGGATGGTGATAGCCCACTCGACAGGAGGACGTGCGTGCGTGTCCCATTGATCGCTGTGGCAGTGCATGGCCAGAGTCGTCCTCTGACTGGAGCCCGTGGGAGAGGACGGGGAATTACCTCCACTGCTGCACCTGCACTGCTGGGTCGTGTCTCTCTCTGTGTGTGTCTTTCGGCATGCGAAAAAGGGGGAGGAGGGTACGGGGAACCGGCCCCGGTGGGCGTGGATTCCTCAGACCTCACCTCTTCTCACCTTGCTCACCGCAGTCTGGAACTTGCGAGACTGGCCGTTTGATGCGGTTGCTGGTGCCGGTACCGATGCTTGAGGTTGTTTGAATTGCGGTGGAGATGTGGGAAAGCACCTACTGCAACTTTGAAAACAAACAAAAGTCCAGAAAAGTTACCTGGCGGCAGCGGCGAACAACCTGATGAGGTGTGGGGAATTCGTGTTTTTTTTTGGTCGTCAGCGCATGTCAGTGGCCATGTCAGTAAGAGGCGCAGATAATCAACATGACGATGAGAGTGATACGAGCACAACCGGGCAGAAAGACGTGCCTCGATTTTTGAAGGAGTCTCTCGTGTGTCACCATTTCCAGCGCTTGGCCCTGCGCCGAGGAGATCATGAAGCGTTTGCGTTGGATGCGAAACCGTCAAAGGAAGCCATGTTGCCATGAAATCCGGATACCAGTGCCGTAGTCGTAGGGCGACGGCAACAAGTGAAGCATTGAGGCGTCAGTTCGTCCTAGGGTGCCAGCCCAGGGCAATAGTCGCAACGGGGGATGGGGCTTCTTCACACTCCCGTCCTAATGGAAGCAAGTGGCTGCCCTGATCTGACGCACTAGACTGGTGACTGGACAGTGGGCAGAGGGCTTCAAGGGCTGGCAAGAGAAGGAAAGGCGACGACGACGACGACAGCTGTCTGTGCCCAGACGCGCCGGTGCAACGCGCCGAGGGACGGGTGGTCATGGATGCTGGACGACACACACGGAATTACATCACCAATAGTGAGCCTCCCGTGTTTACAAGAGATACGAGTTAATGCAGGCGTGGCTCTAGTTCCAAGGGCTGCCCAGGAAGACGGCCGCGGACCAATGGGAGCGCCCATCTGCGAGCTCTACAAAGTACTTTGGTCTGCCGGGTGGCCGACTGGCTCCATCCCACCCTCCCGTCTGATGTGACCACGCCCATCGCACGGTCTCCCGTCCACGCCTGCCGCGTCCCCTGAATTCGCAAATGTCGTCGAGGAACCACTGGGAATCGACTGGGAACCGGGTCCCAAGGCCCCGAGCAACAGCTGCCACTCAGCCAGTCATGGCTCGCCTGACAGCCAATTCATTCGCCTAGTGGATCTTCAGCGCCTCCTGTCTTCCGCCGCCGTGTCCACCGTCCACGTCTCCTGTCGGTCCTTCCTTGGCAAGGAAAGGGAAATCTGAGCCAGGGCAGCGCCGCTCAACCTGCTGGGCCAATTGCTGGGCGATGAAGTCCGGGGTGCGACGACCCTCAGCGCGATGCAAGGATGCGATCCAATCCAGCAAGAGCAGGGCAAGGCAAGGGGGGGTGTCGTGAGCCTGAGGTCGGGTGTGGAGTGAGCGAGCCAGAAGATGTGGAAGGAGGAGGGAATTCGTTCGTAGTGTTCGTACCACCACCACCACCGTCGACCACGCCGTTTTTTAATTCACCCAGTCCCTCCTTCCCGGCCAGCCTCGACCTTTTCTCTCTTTCCTGCTCTTCATTCCCAATCCGACCTCTCGTTGCCGCCTTCCGGGTTTCGAGTGTGCTGACTCCCATCTTCCCCTTCGACCTCCATCTAAAAGTCAACTCCCTCGCTTTGGTTGACGCCCTTTTTTGCTACTCTTCGACAACCGACCAACCTTTTTAATCAACAAACCCGTTTTGGAACTTCCACGAACGTCGCTTTTTCTCCCGCTGAACCAACTCCCCGTCGCTCTTTCTCGCCTCCTTGGAACTTATTCGACCGTATCACCGCTTGCTTTTGGGAATACACTCAGTCAACAGTCAACATGAAGTCTGCCGCTGCCGTCGCCCTTGTGGCTGCTGTCGCCGTCTCGGCGAACCCCACCCCTACCACTCCCGAGAAGCCCATCAAGGCTCGCTCCCTCCCTACTGTCACTGCCTCTGGCAATGGTATGAATGACCTCACTTCTCCCAAACCTTTGAGCAGCTGCTGACACCATTCCAGCTTTCTGGGCCGGCAGCGACCGTTTCTACATCCGTGGCATTGACTACCAGCCCGGTGGTTCTTCCAAGAACATTGACCCCTTGGCCGATACCTCCATCTGCGGCCGTGACATTCCCGAGTTCAAGAAGCTTGGCGTCAACACCATCCGTGTCTACTCCGTCGACAACTCCAAGAACCATGATGAGTGCATGTCCCAGCTCGCCGACGCTGGCATCTACCTCGTTGCCGACGTCAACAACCCGCTCTACTCCATCAACAGAGCCGACCCCCACAAGTCTTACAACTCCGTCTACCTCCAGTCCGTCTTCGCCACTGTCGAGGAGTTCGCCAAGTACGACAACACCCTGGCCTTCTTCTCCGGTAACGAGGTTATCAACGATGCCGGCAACACCACCCTGACTGCCCCCTACGTCAAGGCCGTCACCCGTGACATGAAGAACTACATGGCCTCCCGCGGCCTCCGCCACGTCCCTGTCGGTTACTCTGCTGCTGATATCGCTGACAACCGCATGGAGACTGCCGAGTACTTCAACTGTGGTAGCGACGACGCCCGCTCTGACTTCTTCGCCTTCAACGACTACTCTTGGTGCAACACCAACTTCAAGGAGGCTGGCTGGGATGTCAAGGTCAAGAACTTCACCGACTACGGTCTCCCCATTTTGTAAGTGACTGTCGACGCTCAATGTCTTCAATAACTGTTGAAAACCTGGCTAACCAACATAACAGCCTTTCCGAGTACGGCTGCATCACCAACGGCCGTGACTTCGGTGAGATCGAAGCTCTCATGAGCGACGAGATGACCGGCGTCTACTCCGGAGGTCTCATGTACGAGTACTCCATGGAGGAGAACAACTACGGTATTGTCGAGATCGATGGCACCTCCGTCTCTGAGCTGTCCGAGTTCGCCAAGCTGTCCACTGCCATGTCCAAGTACCCTGCTCCCACCGGTGCCGGCGGTGCTGTCTCCACCACCCACTCCGTTGCCTGCCCCACTGAGAACGCTGTCTGGTCCGTTGACCCCAGCAAGATTCCTACAATGCCTACTGGTGCTAGCAAGGTAAGTTGCACATTTCCCTGTATCAGATATCTGATGCTAACAAGGCGCTACAGTACATGACCGCTGGTGCTGGTGACGGCCCTGGTCTGACCGGTGATGGCTCCCAGCAGGCCGGTGACTCTGCCTCCGATGGCGAGACTACCGGAGGAACTGCTTCCCCCACTGCCTCTGGCGCTGCTGCTACCGGCTCTTCCAACGCTGCCCCCGGCCTCACTTTCGGCAGCCACGTCGAGAAGGCCCCTCTGGTTATCAGCGGCCTGACCATCATGTTCACCCTGTTCGGTGCCATGGCGTTGTAAGAGGTTTAGGCTTAGCCACGTCAAAAAAAAAAAAAGTTACCCATTATTGGGATGTACAAACGATTTTGGGAGGGCACTTGCCCCGTTTCGCATGAGCATTAGAATTGGACGGCACCGCCATAATTTCATTAGTTGTCAAGGAATGAGACCCAGGGTATTTGGGCGTCTCCGGCTTTATCGCAGTGAACAAACGGACAGGAACGGGAGAAACGTATCCTTGAACGCGGGCGCGTTATTTGTATGTACAGTTGTGCTACGGCCAACTATGATTTAATATGTTTGATCCATCGCCTCTGTTATCCAAGATGCCCTCGTTGTCTCGTGATGCCTCTATCCATATCCATTATTGATGCATATGTCCTTATCCGTTGACCTGCACCCGGAGTTGCTCGCTGCCTCCGGTTTCTGGGCATCGGGGCCCGGGTCCCCAAGCATTCGCCCGAGAACAGAGCTCGTCTCAAGTGCGGGACAAAACGTCGTCCGAACCCAGTACAGTTATAGCAAACCCAAGTGTTCAATCTGCAGGAGCTTGCTTGAGTTCGCCCTGTCTGAGCAGGAACAACTCATCATGCCGAAGGCCGACCATGATGAGTATCGTTACCTTACTACGAATCACGTTGTGTTGACGACATGGCCTCGATTGGCTTATTTTTGAATCACAAAATACGATTGTACATGACCTGACAGAAGGATCGATGATTATTTGCATCGTCTCGATGCGGGTCAAGACTCCCATCTAATCCTCTACTCGAAAGATTGTGTTATCAAAAGACAAGAGTCTTCGTTTGGCCCTGTTGCAAACACAGTTGAAATCTCGACCGTCAGCCGTTGACGAAGATTATTCAAGATCTCGTTCGAACTGTGCGAAGTTGTTGATCCTGTCGAAATGACAGCATCATTGCCCACCAACGAAGGTGCTTCTCGCTGTCACCGACTTCTCGCGCCGTTGGCCTCCGTGGACGTGACTCCCATCTGCCTGGGCGGCGCGGATTGTGGGGAGGCATGGAAGGACAGGCTTGGGACTTGCAGTAACGAAGTCGCGTTCGACGCCATGGACTACTTTCACGAACAGGATGGCAATCTCATTGCCACGTACCCTTCCTACTGGCGGTGTTCTTAGCGGGAGAGCAAGAGGAGTGACGGTCGTGGGAATTTGTCAAGACCAGGGGATGAGGATTGCGCCTTGGAGGTATTTGGGAGGCGAATGTTCCAAGACCAAGAGGAAGGATAATGATGGTGAGGTTCCTGGCGGCAGGACGAGTAACGTCGAGACGGGCAGGGACAAGGGGTTGCAGAGGTTTTGCAGAGGGTTTCGGAGAGGATTGAGGCGCTGGTAACGAGCGTTGCGATGGCTTATGCCATGCACAATGCACCATAGGTGTTTCCTATCGTCGGTGGAAGAAAGGTTGAGCATTTGAGGGGAATTTTGCTGACCGGGCAGTGTCAGTTGGCTATCCGGGCAGTGTCTAACGCATATACTCCCTTATTTTAAAGGGATTAAATTTCTGATACTTGTTATTATTATTACTATAATCATTACTTTTATTACTATCTATTATCGGTATCTATCATCGTCGTCCATCGTCCTCGTCCATCGTTAGATCGAAGTATAAGTATACTACGATTAAAGTCAGAGGGGGCACTGCTCAGATAGCTAACTGACACTGCCCGGCTAGCAAAACTCTTTGAGGGAGAACCTCGAGGTCCTTGGGCTGGAGTTAACGGAGGTTGACGTGGAGGAGATTGAGACGAATTATGACTTTGTTATTGGGTTCCGGCACGATTTCCTGGGAAGAGGAAAGAATCCAAAGGACCAGGGGATGCGGCGTTTACACAGAGATTTGGGAATTCGACTATGTGCTGCCTGTGGGGGGTACCAACCCTCAGAGGGGGCCACTGAGTACGCGTGATCCCAAATGGGCATAGACACAGCTTGCGTTGAGGGTGTTTAAGGAGGATAAGCTTCTTGGAAGTAAGCAGAATCAAGGTCCGTCCTTGGACAACGTTGGACTCGGAGATGTTCCCGCCTTGGTGATCTTGTCGCCCTTTGAGAAGCCCCCCCGAGAAAGGTTAATGTCATGTGCCTCAATCCCCGATCCTCGCCAAGTAAGCCGAGCTCTCAGTTTCTCCTCTCGTTAGTTCCAAGATTTGTCGAAAAGAAAATAGACAGGGAGAAAGTTAGGCTCTGAGATGCATTGCGTCGACAAACCGTTGCCCAGACTGGTATTTCGCCGGCATTACCACATGGACCGGAGTGCAAGTAGCTAGTGGTATCAATTACCCAGAATGCCATATAATCTGGTTAAACTTAATGGTCCTTATAGTAAATCTTTCTAGCGACCCATGTTTGAAGTGTCCGCTGCGACAATCAGAGTGGGCTTGCTTGACTACTAATGTAACATGTGCATTTCTCTGTAGCACGGCAGTCAGCTGCGAATCCGGGGGTTGCAACGAAGCAATATTCACGTATTAAATGATTGGTGGACAGATATGAGCAGGTTTTGGGGTCACTCAACTTCAAGCCAATACGCTGCAAGGATCCCCGCTTGTCAGTTAGATCAGGCCATGGCCGCGAGCACCTCCGCAATCCTGACTTCCTCGAACGGAAGACTGGTTGGATGTTTCTGTCGTTGTGCAGCACCGCGACCTTCAAATCTAGCAAGAGTCTTGAAATGCCTAGCATGCCGTGTATCCGGCCCCGCCCCGGAGCAACCAATAGTTCTTGGCATGGCGTTGTCAAGACGGCGTTCCAATCTCCGCGAGATATTTTGGTGACATTTCTGTCAATTCACCGTGTCATTTCTAGACGAAACTGTCTTCCCTCGTTCGCCCCGCCCCATGTTGCAAGTACAGGCATCCCAAACTTAGTCGGGCCAGAACAGGGCGCATCCCGTCCCGGGTTACCCGTCAGCCCCTCAACTCCCAAATCTCTGCATTCGGGACATTTCATAAAGACGTCAACTTCACTTCAACCCATCACGACTTTTGAGTGAGAGGCAGTATCAAGATGCGCCTGAAGCAGGCAGCGCGGCGGTTTTGGCCTGTTCTCGTCGCTTCAGCGCTCGGGTTCATCGCATACGGAATCTTGTGCCCATCCAAAGTTGGCTTTGGAGGAGATGCCACGGGAAGCTCTCTAGACTACGCCTCTGAGTCTAGTCCTATGAAAAACCGAGAGCAGGATTTCGACAACCTTCATCTTACTGAGGAACAATGCCAGGAAGTATTCCCGGGCTTGACGAAGGAGATAGACCTGGCCGTGGCCCAAGGCTCATTCCAGCTCAACATTGACGACGCCTCGGCATCTCTGCTGGGCCAGATCAAGAACAACAAGTTGCTTATTTTGAGAGCTCCAAGACCAGTTGACATGTCCGACCAATGGAGAGAGGTCTGTATGCCGTGATCAAGTTCCTAATTACTCGGGTTATGTGGATCATCACGACAAAACAGTGGCTAATAACCCCCGCAGCGACAAAGAGCCGCCCTTCACCAGATCCACCGAGCCATCCTCACCTCACCAACTCGACTTCCAGACACCGTTTTCAACCTCTACATCCAAGATACGCCCGTACCCAAGTCTTGGTCTCATAGCAGACCCGCCATTGCGTCGTCCCCAAGACACATCTTCCCCATCCCCCACTTTGCTTTTTGGGCCTGGAATCAACCGTTCATCCGGTCTATCACCCATGCTGCTGCCGCAACTACCGACATCGAAGCCGCCTTGCCGTTCCATAAGAAAGACCAGCGAGCCGTCTGGCGCGGGACGGCTTGGTTCAACAATGGTGCCAGCGCGAACCCAAGATCAAGACAGGAGCTTTTGAAGATCGCCAAGGATGCGAAATGGGCTGACGTGCAGGCGTTGGAATGGACGAACCAAGGAGAGGACGCAACAAATGCCCTCAAAATCGAGGACTTTTGCCGCTACAAATACGTCATCCAAACCGAGGGCGTGTCGTACTCTGGCCGTCTCCAGTTCCACCAGCTTTGCGAGAGTGTCATTCTGAGTCCGCCTGTCGAGTGGATGCAGCACACAACGCACCTATTAAAGCCAGTGTACTCTAGTACGCTGCTCAGTTCTGAAGAGGCCAACGCCGTGGAAAGGGACAAGTCACAAAAGCAGCAGCAGGGACGCTACCCTTCAAAGAGAGCACAAGAAACGTGGCCTGCCACGTTTCGTCCGGAAGAGGCAAACATGGTCTTTGTCAACCCGGATTGGTCGGATTTAGAGGCCACGATCAGCTGGCTGGAAGACCACGCAGACGTAGCACACAGCATTGCCAAACGGCAGAGGGGCTTGTTTGCTGGACGGGGATACTTGAGCCCGGCCGCGGAAGTCTGTTACTGGCGGGCGCTTATCCGAGGCTGGAGTCAAGTGGTACATGCTGATGATGCCATATGGGAGAACAGCCTGGTGACCCCTTGGGAAGAGCTTAGTGTAAGAAATGAGAAGGTTCAGCAGAGGTCGTGATATTGTTTGCCAAGATGGATTCTTCGATAAAGCACCACTGTGCAACAGGGCGCAGGACTTGGCTTGGCTGGGTCACATCGAAGAACGACGGGCAACTGTATCACTGTTCTTGAGCATGTATCACTGTCAGTGCCAGGAAGACCCAACAACAAGGAGGCCGCAACATAAGGCTGCCCAGGGAATCCTTCTCGGGATTCGACTTATCAACAACGGAATCGATGCCGCCGGGATTGAATGTCTCTCCGTGCCGCCTCGGAAGAGCAACCAACCTCGGGGAATGAAGAGACAGGGAGCCTTTGGAGCTTGGACTTATACCGACGGGTGTCGTTGGGGTCCGAGAACGAGAACCAAGACCTCGGCTTACCGGTTTGTTGGAAGCTCTGGGGCTCAATTCATACAATATTCCGGGAATGACATGGAGTTGTCAATGTCTCGGCCACGCACGCTTTGGATGCCTGCCGGCGACGTCCCATGCCAGTTTGACGGAACACAGGGCTTTGAACAGTGGGGACTTGTGTCAATGTCAGGGGTGGTCCAACAGGGAGTTTGACATTGCGGTGGGAAACATTCGGATACCTGTACCAACATGTCCATATGCTCGGGATGGGACCTCAGGGATCAGAGTCCGAGGGCGTAGAGCCGAGTGGCCTGATTCCGTAGCTTGCTGACGGATGACATGTTACTGATCACTCGGAAAGAATGTTTATTGTTTCGAGTAAGATAGTAAGGGCTAAGAAGAGAGAGAGAGGGAGAGAGGGAGGGAGAGAGAGAAAACATCCGAGCATCGCGAACGCAACCTTGCCCAGGGATGACGGGCCAAGACGCCATGACAGGAGGAGTATTTCCGAGAAACAATGGTTGGAGTAAAATCTGATGCAGATCGCAAGATTCTTCCGGGCCGCTGCAAATAGATTCCAAAAACCAGGTACCGTGAAAGCCGTAGAGGAAGTGCTTTTGCATGAGGCCGTCACCGTCCGTTTGGCAAGGCCGACACCGGCCATGCGGACGATAGGACTGTGCGACGTCGTCTCATGCATCTCGACGAACAGAGCCGTGGAGTCTGGCTCGGCAAACTGCTGACAGCATGATTCTGTTGTTTGTGTAACAGAGCGGGTTTGTGACATATGAGCGCCATCATGCAATGCCTGCTCAAGACAACACGAACCGGGCCTCTGGGACGGGCAGGTCTTTTCCCGACGGATGGGGAGTAGGACGGGATTTTGTTTTTTTCTTGCAGGAACGACGGTGTCTCAACATCAAACGAATCACGGGGCTCCAAGAGAAAAGTTGGAACGAGGCGAGTGAGACGTCTGCGAAATGTTGGCGGCGGAGACGGAGAGACATGGTGTTGGTTGGAACATGGCCTGTGGGCATGCGGCTGTCTGTCACCAACGGGAACTTTTGCACCGTGACCGTCGTCTCCCCTCTTTCTCTGCCTCTCTCTTTTTTTCGCCCAGGGCATCAGAAGGGCCCGAGAACCTGGGATGAGCATCTCTGCGGCGCAGCGCCCAGGCCCCAAAGCAGCGGGCAGCCATTCAAGTGGCGAAGATGGGCAGCATGTGGCTGTTGGTGCACATCACATCACGTTTCCTGCATGCCCAGAACTGGCTTTCCGTCCAACCCGTCACACCGTTCTTTCGACGCTGGCGGCCGTCCTGTCACGGTCCAGACTCCTCCTTCAAAATGATTCATGACTGCGGGCTTCTGGCAACACAACAACGCCGCAAATGTAATTGTAATTGCATCCTTCGAGCCGGTACCAGAACGCTTTCACCCGGAACGACCTTGTTTCTGGAAAAAAGAGTCTGGGCTGGACGGACATTGCGCAGGGCATGGATCAGCCATGGCACAGAGCACCGTCGCCCGGCCGGAGCAGAGAGCTCTCTCAGAGCGGATGCTACCCGGGTACCCCAACTCTCTCCACCGACAGGCCATGGCCCACGGCTGCTGAGATGGCTGGCTATGCGAATCATATCCTGTCATCCTATCAACGCTTTTGGCCCGACACCACTTCGCGCAGCATTTCCCACCGCAAGGGTGCCCGCATAGCTAACTGGGTCTTTGGTGATATTTTGGTGTTGGACCCAACTTCACCGTCGTCTTCGCTTCCGAGGGCTAGGTGAGGGGGAGCAACATGAGGGCTCGTTTACGCTTCTGTTCCCATCTCCTGTCAGATGTCAGATGGATCCTGGGATGGCATGTCGGTAGACCGCCGTCCTCTCGTTCCGGTTGGTGAACCCAGCGGCCGACGTGAGGAAACTATCTGTGAAATTTGGTCAGCAGTAGTCGGCAACTTTTCCTGATTGATCTGCGATCCACGTTCAACTCGGCGCAGGCTTGTTTTGTAGTTGTGGCACCTCTGCAAAGTCCCCTTGCTTTTTCTTGTTTTAATTCTGGGCCATCAGTGCCTCTGTACAGACAGGATGTTGTTGGTTCTACTCTCGCGCACTGATGCATGCACCTGCCCAGGTCTACGCATCTCTTTTTGATTTTTGGTTCTTTTTTTTTGCCTCCTCCTTTTTTGGATGCAATTGATGCAGCAACAATCCACATTGGATGCGTCCTTCTTACCTTAGGCGGCTGCACGCAACTCCAAAGGGTGTTTAAGCCCCCTCTAATGCAGAGGCTCAATCTAGTTTCCAGCTCGCCCGTCGCTCCGGTCGAAACACAGCTCACCTGCTATCCGCTATTTCTTCCACCCCTGTTGCTTGCTCTCGACAGCTGTACCCGGTAGCAAATCGGGGAGGAAGGCGACTGAGGGGCCTCATTTGTCAATTCCGCGCCAACGCGCAAACCTGGGTTGCGCTTGGGGGGTTTGCTCTGTTTTGGTTCCAGTTCCAGCTCATCAACAGCCAAACAGAAGCCATACGGACGACGAAGAAGGGGGGGCCCAAATCAAAGAAATCCAGGTCCCAGGGTCCAGGGTCCGCCCCCCAGGGTTGTGGAATCGTATCAGTCGACACCGAGTTCCAACACCAACAACAGCAGAACCAACCTATTGGGTCCTCCCCCGTGTTTTCGTTCCCGCCTTTCCCGCCCTCGCGGATTCAGACCGACTCAGGCCGTCCCAGGTCTCCGGGTCGAGCACGAACACTCACACCCAGACTCGCTCCCTCTGCTCTACTTAGTACACAAATGCCACGGCTCTCCCCTCCCTTCCCATTACCGACGCCCCAATCTCTCATCTTAAACTTTGTGTGTCTCGGCCGGCGTTCAATTGGCGTGCTGCGAGGCCTTGAGTCGGATCGAGCCTCTTCTCACCTTGATTCTGATCTGCGATCCCGAGGTCGTTCGATTCATTCCTCTCTGATGCCCGGCCCCTCCGCCCCTAGTTAATCTTATTGTCTTAATAACCAAGGAGGTGAACATTCGCCGGGAATTCGACCTGTCAGGAGACAAATACGTACCGCGAGACAACATCAACGAGCCCCAAGGAAGCTTTCTTTGTTCAACAGCCACCACGAGCAATTGCGATTGACTTCACGTTCTCCACTTGTTCGCTGAGGTCTTCAATGGCCCTGGACTTGACCGCAATCGTCCTATCGTTCCGAATCCGTCACCTCGACTCATAAAAACTGCCCCTTTTCTCATCAAGCTCGACCCCGTCGTCGTCGTCACTCGACACTCTCCGAACTTTTTTTCTTCCCTCGGCTCATGTCACGAGCTCAAGCCATGGCCACCAATTTCTACCCTCCAGGCGCCGTCAACGGTCGGCTCCACGGCTTCGAGTTCACCTTTGAGTCCACCCCCGACAAGACATCCCTGCACGATAGCTTCTTGGAACCCGATGTACGTAGAAATCCTCCGCGCGCGCATGCGGCCCTGTTCATTTGATCCAAGTGTTCGTCCGATGTCACTAACAAGCTCATGTTCTTAGCCCGATCCTCAAGAGGGGTATGCCTGCCATTGAGAAGTCAATTCGCAAGCGCACGAGCTAATGGTGTGAACTACCTAGGGAGACGGACTCTTTGCCGGATAGCGTGGAATGCTTTCCTCGTCACTTTGGCAGGACTTATCACGCTTACCAGGCCGGATGTAAGTCATATCGATCCGACCGTGCCGGGTTAATAATACTCACATGAGTCGCAGCCTATGTTTTTCCAAATGATGCAGCCGAACAAGAGCGATTAGACCTTCAATCTCTTGCACTTACGGAATTATTTAACGGCAGATTACATTTCGCCCCGATAAATGAGAAAGGCACACCCAAACGAATTCTCGATGTGGGCACAGGAACGGGCGCGTGGGCGATGGATATGGGAGACAGCTACCCAGAAGCTCGCATCATTGGAGTAGACTTGTCACCTATCCAAAGCAATGCGGTGCCACCAAACGTCCATTTTTATATTGAAGATGCGTAAGTGAGTCTGTTTCCCGTATGAGAACTTCATCTGAGTCCACACACAGCTCCCAAGAGTGGGCATGGCCTGACCCCTTCGATTACATACACACACGCGTCCTCCTCGGTTCATTCGGCGATTTCAAAACCGAAGTTATTCAACAATCATTCGACGCTCTACGCCCAGGTGGCTGGCTCGAGTCTCAAGACTTTAACGTCGAAGCGATCAGCGACGACGGCACTCTGTTGCCAGACAGCCCTCTAGCTCGCTGGGTGTATGACATGAACCACGCAAGCGAGCTCATCGGACGGCCCTTGGCCAGAGCGCACCTGCTGAGGCAATGGTACGAAGAGATTGGGTTCGTCGATGTGCATGAGCGTGTATTCAAGATCCCCTTGAACGGATGGGCGAAACACCCGAGACACAAGCATGTCGGCAAATTATGGGAACAGAACTTTCTTGATGGGCTGAGTGGCTTCAGCCTGGCCTTATTTACGCAAGTTTTGGAGCGAAAACGGGCGGAAGTAGAGGTAAGCTCTCCATTAGACCTTAAGTCTCCTGTCATAAGCTGACCACATTTGCAGTTGTCTTTGGTAGGCGTACGGAAAGATATCAGCAACATACAAATCCACGCTTACCAGCACGTTTGGGTTGTATGGGGCCGAAAGCCATATCCGGAGGAAGTCACTGCTGCCGGCCCCTCCGAGGACAGCATGGCCGAATAATGATGCAAATGACTTGACGACTTTTTTTTCCTTCTAGATTTGTTTCCCATTTATTCAGCAGCGGAAGTCATAGCGCGTTACGGGCAGCATTTAAATGGCCAGGGGAGCACAGGATATCCTTGGAAAACGCGTCTGGTAGGCGTTCGCCATAGGCGTACGATGTTTCAAGACGAACGCGAGCGGACAGCATAGATATTTCTGTATGATGATGACTACGAGTATTTCAGCACAGATACCATTCCTCGATTTTCATTTCTGCCATTTTGGTTCCCAAATTCAAACTTTGAGCAACATCCACTCCAACTGCATCGCCTTCTCTTCTCCGATGAGACTTAGGAGCGTGTCCTTCGTCAAGAAGTCATGATCGCAAAACTCGAACCCAGGCACGGCGACCTCAGTAATCAAGAGCCCCTCGCTCGCCTCCTTCTCGCCATCTTCGTCTGGCAAGATGAAGCTGGCCTTATGGTCGCCTCCTTCGACGACCCACTGCAGCCTTTCTCCGGCGGCGATGTTCTTGCCGACGACGGAGCTCTCAATGTTGCCGTCTGCGTGGATGAGCACATATCGCCCTCTTCCACTGTGAAGGGAATGCGTGATGTAGCAGCGGTTCCGGTGAAAGTGGCCCACAGGCGAGGAGGGAGTAAGGTAATAAAAGATACTAGATGATAGTGTGCGAAGGGTTGGGACGAAGCCGGGGCGGTTGTAGCCTCCGATCATGCCGAGGGTTATCGGATTCGTGGGAGTTTGAGGGTACGTGGACGTTACGGTGGTCTTGTCCCGATCTGTTTCGGCGAAGAAGCCACCTTCGAAGTGTCGCAAAAGGGAGAGGGAATTGATTGTGCTTTGGACTGAGGATGGATCGTGGGGGAGGGGGAGAGAGGATGGAGTTAGAAGTTGGTCGAGAACAGGAAGAGATCCCATTGTGTTTTCCTGAGACTATGTGCTGGTTGAACGAGCTATGGAAGTTGAGGTGAACAGCATCTGAGGTCGAAAATACATCAAGACGGAACGATTCGAGGAGAATTCTTTTTGGCCACAGCCTGATCTTTACCTATGGATGTCAATCTGGAGATAAGCTATAGCTTACGGCCAAGGCCTGAGAAAGTACTCAGAACAGACAGAGAAGCGACCTATCACATACGTATATGACGCTGGCAGAGAGCTTCCGAAGCACCACACCAGACAGAACCCCTGAAAAGTCCTGGCAGCCTGCTAATATTAGATAACCCGTCGCTCTCCGAGATAAATATATATTATAGATAGTTCGCGTGACTCAGTAAGTGATGTGCGATTTCCCCTATAGTTCAAGAGACGGGCAGGTACACGTGGCAACCCTTATCATCACAGAAGACCCATACTATTCAGGTTCAGGCGCACCAGCGAGCCCGGACTTCCGGTACACCATCGAATGAAACCTGTGAAGAAACTTCAGCGAATACGCATTGATATGACAGAAATTCCGGAAAGCTCGGGAAAAACCTTGAAATCTGACGTGGGATTGAGCAGGTGTTGGTGAGGGAGTTGGGAATGGGGGCATTGGCTCAGCCACACTATGTGGCTGGTGGGCCACACTTCTTATCGTTATCGCCGGCTGGTGAACTATCAGCATCCTCGGGTGTCTGAAATCGATCACGACGAATACCACAACCAGCCTCGCCACGACGCTCTCCTTTCTACAGGACACCTCAACCGGGTCGCACAATCGCAGAGACCAAACCTGGGGACTGATGTCGGCTGGTGCCCGTTGCGCGCCCAACCATGTCATCCCTCCTCCGCGCTCTCCGACCACCAGCCTCCCGAGCAGCATGCCTTCGACCGCCACCCCCTCGGCCACTCCATGGCAACTCTCCCATCAGCTCTCGTCTTGCGCAAATCAGATCAGACTCAGCGACGCCAATACAAAGACAGACCCGATCCTTCTCCCAGACCCCGCGTGCTCCTCAGGACCCGCGCGACCCTCGTCGCCAAATAGACTACGACTATCTCCAACGACAGTACCATGAAAACCGCATACGAGCTGCCAAACCCCTGTGGTCAGGCAAAAGTGACGGCCGGATAGGCATCTTCGAGCGGTTCCGCCGCGCCGCGACGTCCCGCGGCACCGTAGGTACCGGCGTGATAGCCGGCTCCTTCCTCGCCGCCGTCCTATTCTACTTTTACAACCTCCAGACGGTCCCCGTCTCGGGGCGCAAGCGCTTCAACATCTTTCCGGAAGACTACGTCAAAGACATTTCCGCCGAACAGGTCCGGCGCATCATCCACGAAGTCGAGTCGCAAGGCGGCCGTTTCCTGCCTTCATGGGATCCCCGCGCCAGGATGGTAAAACGGGTGATGGAGCGGCTGATACCAGTGTCCGGGATGGAGGATCTGCAATGGGAGATTCGCGTGATCGACGACCCCAGCACCATCAACGCGTTCGTCCTCCCCGGCGGCAAAGTGTTCGTTCACAGCGGCATCTTGCGCGTGACGAAGAACGAGGACGGTCTAGCCGCCGTGCTGGGCCACGAGATCGCGCACATCATCGCGGATCACGTAGGAGAGCGGATGAGCTCTCTGATTGGGCCCAATATCCTGCTGGGAGCGTTGTTTAGCATTTGGCTTGCGACACCGCTGGCTCTGCCTATGGTCCATTACTTGGGCGGTGGGTTGATCGATTTCATATTCACGCTGCCAATGGGCCGGTTGCAGGAGAGCGAGGCAGATTATATCGGCATGATGCTGATGGCAGAGGCGTGTTATGATCCCAGTGAAGCCATTGGTCTGTGGCAACGAATGGACCGTATGGCCAAGATGTATCGCCAGGACGAGATCCCCGAAATCCTGGGTACACACCCTTCGGTGCGTTATGGCCCCATTGTGTTCAATGTATTTTGTATGGCTAACAGTGTTCCCGCAGAATGAGCATCGCATTCAGAAATGCACCGAGTGGCTGCCGAAAGCTCTTGAAAAGCGATCTGCTAGCGATTGCCAAGGAACTGCTAGCTTTGCGGGGCAGTTCAGGCGAGCCCTGGATTTGGGTAATCTGATCATTGAATTCTAGAGCATTCCCCTTTACCATACCCTATCATGGATGGTGTTTGGCGTTGAGGGCATAGAACCGCGGAGACGATAGACGAGAACTTGGATTGCATGCAATGTCATGAAACTAAGCGTCATTGTTATTATCAAAATCATACTATAGCCTAGTAAACTTTCATATATGAGATACCACAATACTTCAACTCATCTTCTAGGTCGTTCCTTTCCACCGCATCGTTTCGAGCAACCTTGCATGCAAGCGAAATAAACTCGCCAAATACCCCGGCATCCTTGACAATGACATACCGCCGGGAACCGATTCGAACCATGGGAGAAAAAGAATACCAGGCGCGTGAAAAAAAGTCTAGGTAGTCGCAAAGGTAGCGGAGCCTCGGATCTGGGCGCTGCTCCTCCCCCGGATCTCACGAGCTGAGAAATCGTCGCCTCGTGATTTGCTCCCGCATTCACCCCAGGCCACCAAGCGGTCCGGAGGCGGAGCTCCCCCAATCAGCGGACGAATGACGTCGTCCGACGACCCCTGTTCGCGCATAGATGAGCCGAGGTAAGTTGACTCGTGTACCGCTAGATGCAACACGCGCGCTGCTGGCCTGCTCTTTGCCGGTGCTTTGCAGGGCCGCCAGCCAACCCCCCAGTGGCCCGATACGCTAGGAAACGACACCGACAAACCCCCGACAACCTTGGCCCATCTCACCGTGTCTTTTTCCTCGCATCTTATCAACCTGCAACTCACCACCTCGTCTTCAGATTCATATCTTCACAGCAACTACCACCGCAACCCTTCTCAACGTCGTACGACATCTCGCTACTACATATACCGAACCGCGTCACCCCCTCAAATTCTCCCCAAACACAGCCGCCAATATGTCCAAGACTTTCACCACCGCCGAGGTTGCCCAGCACAAGACCGAGAAGGACATGTGGCTCATTGTCGAGGACGGCGTCTACGACATCACTGGTGAGTCTCCCTCTTCTCCATGTTGTCGTGTCTCACGGCACAACATTGCTGTAGACACTATACTGAACATGTCTCGCAGCTTTCCAATCAGAGCACCCCGGTGGTGAGAAGATCCTCAAGCGCTTCGCCGGTAAGAACGCCACCAAGGTCTTCTGGAAGTACCACAACGAGAAGGTCCTCGAGAAGTACGGCGGCAAGCTCAAGATCGGCACCGTCGGCGAGAGCGCCAAGCTTTGAGACGGTCACCTCGCTATAGCTGTCTTTGTTTCGGCATCATTTGTTTATGTACTTTTTCCGACCTCGCAACAAGAAGCGACTGTACTTGATGGATTCTGTGCTGGAAATTTGCTATTATTTTACCACCTTTGCATTGGGCTTTAGCGCGTTGGGACACACGACTCTCTGGAATAGGCTCGGGGCAATGGATTCGCATCGAAGATGAGCCAGCAAGCCCGGTGTCCGTTCGATTGACTGGGATCGTGTTGGAACGGACGTCCAGCCCATGCAGGACAGTAATATCTGTCTGGTCTAGGGGCTCACGTTAGGCGGACATCGGAGTCCGGGAGCCGGAGTGAGGCCATCGATGGCTCAGACGCCATCGGAGAAGTGGCCCAGAAGGATGGAGTTCAGCGAGGATCACTGTTGTGCTTTGGCCGAAACAGTAGACAAACACTAGACGGTCCAGCTCTGCAACGGAATAGATGTCGAAGACCATGTTAAAGTCAATTCTCTAACCATAGGGGTGCAGCTTCGAAACGTTTAGTCATTAATATGTCTTGGCCCGTTAAAACTATATGCAGCCGCTGCAAAGGGCAGCGGCGAGGTGAAAAATTATCGTGCAAACCCTGCCGCAGCGTATCCAACCCTCGTGGAAGCAAAAGCTTGCGTACCCAGGTCCCGTTTGCCTTCCCATTCCAAGGGCAGTTCTGTCTAGATTTATCATTGTCTGGATTCCGGTCTCTTCCTTCGTCCATCTCTATGGCATCCTCAATAAGCAAGATCGTCGTCCCCTCTAATATCTTTTCTCCCCTTCCCAAGTCACAGAGGGTATAATGCAATTCGTCGGCGTGCGTTATACAAACGGAACAAAGAGAAAACTTCGGTGTGGCAGGCCACTCCTGCCAGTGTCGTGCCGCCCTCAAGAGGCGGCACGCTTCGTTCTTGAGTCGAAAAAAGAAAACTTCGTGAAAACTCATGATGTTCCTTGCAGCCAGATCAATAACCGCCGATGAGAGAGTCGTCATATCTGTCAGGGCTGCCGGTGCCGCTACCATTGGCACTATCGCTGCTCGAGAAGTAGCTTTGGTCGATTCGGAAGATCCAGTCCATCTTGTCGCGCTCGCTGCGCCCGGCAAACAGCCATGTGTTGTCGGTACCGTAAATGGCGAATACGCCAGCTTGCAGTCGTTCACTCAGCCGTTGGAGGCCACCATTAGGTCCGGTCTGAGCGCCACCTGTGCCTGTGCCAGTCCAGATGCTGGAGATGACACGCCCTGAGGCAGTCCGACGGTGACTTGGCCGGAACTCTTCGACGCTCCCGTTGGCTTGCGAGCTTGTGTCGTCGTCTTCGCCCGACAAAAGCCCGATGACGCCAGGTTGGCTGTCGACGCGCGAGTTGCGGAGACTGACAATTGCCACCTCATCACCGTCAGTGACGGAGTGGATATGAAGGTAGGGTCGACGCAATTCCACAAATCTCTTGACCCATCTTGTTGAACTGCTGTTGGGTACCAGCAAGTAACCACCCTTAAGAACCTTGGGGTTCTTTGGAACTCGGATGATCGTGGGAATCAACATCGGCGCGGCAGGTTCGGGTGCAGCGCCATCGGCTGGTGGATCAGTGTTGGCTGGGCTGAGAATCTGCAACAGAGGATCAGGGTACTTGTTCCATAGCTTGAGGCACCTCTCGACGAGGTACTTCTCTCGCTCTGGCATTTCTGGCTCCTTGGGTTCTTCAGGTTCCTGTACCGTAGCAGTCTCTGTCCCAGTCTCCGCGTCTTGTTGTGGCGTGTCCTGGCCATCTCCATTCAAAAAGTCGTCCTCTGGAACTTGTGAACTCTCTGGGGTGTCGTTCAAGAGGTCATCGTCGTCATGATCAAAAGTCGGTTGAGGAGGTATATCCTCTTCTTGAGGCTCTTCCGCGGGCTTCACCCTAGGCTCGGGGAGCCCAATTTTCTTAAGCAGGAGCTGCGCGGACCCGATTTCAGCTATACGCCTTCTCTTCTTACGAGAAAGAATAAAGTCGCTGACAAGAGAAACCCCGCGTGGTGTCCAAGTTGTAAGCTGCTCTTCGCCCTTTACATAGTCGTGTTGACTGCTCATCCTCCAAAGGTCACCGATTCTCTTGATAGGCGCTGGACGCATTGAGAGAGTGAAGATGGCGCTGGTGGCGTGGACAAACCGAACGCTTTGCCACAGTGCAGAGAACATGGAGGTCTGCCTCACGTATGATCTGGACATGATTTGACAGCAAACGTGCATGGCGAACTTCATCGGCTCTGCAAACTTGCTGGAGCTAATCTCCCAGGCCACCGTCATCTGCACGCGGTACTTGTCTGCGGTAACCCTGTCTAGCAGTAAGGAGTTGTGCAAACTTGAGTCCCACTGGCCGGTCAGCGTGATGCTTCGGGTACCATTTGCGTTATCGCGGAAAGTAGGCTTGTTGGCGAGCTTGAGGGTGATCGCCGGGGATGTCGAGCCCATGTCCGGGGACTTTCCTGCCTGGTCCAAGAGTTGGATCTTGCCAACCCTAAGATTCATAGCATCATCCCAAGGCAAGGCATCGCCGGAGCTGTGCGTGATGTTGATGGCGATTCGGCGCTGCAATCCTTGATGGAGGTGGAACGTGCCGCCATCCATTTCGCTTGTCTGAGCAACTTCGACAGGAGCATACTCTCCTTCCTCATTGAGCTCAAGGATCTGTATTCTTGCCAACATGTCGTGTTTCTCTTCCGTGAAAAATTGGGACTCCGCAATGCGAGCGTTCTTGCCTTTACCTCGAGAAAGGGGCACGGCATCTCTCATGTCGTCCCAACTCAAGAGCTTATCCAAATGCATAGCCGAGACCTTGGCGAAGATGGCGGCTCTGAGAGTGACGGTCTGCGGGCTGAAAAGAGGGACGCTCATGCTGTGTACGCTCTCGAAGCGAATCGGGCCTTCATCGAAATCCTTGATCATCTGCGTAGTCGTAATTCCGTCCTCCTCGGACACTCCAGGAATGAACAGCTGCGCGTGCACCTCGGTACCTTCTCTCTCGGCGAAGCCTACCATTTCGTGCATAACGACATTGAACTTGAGAGTGTTGGAAGGCGCTCTGGCGTGAGATGGCTCCAAGGAAAGCTTGATCATGCCAATGGCATGGGAGGTGTGGGGAGACAGAACGTCCAAGGCAAAGTCCTGGACTCTGCTTTGGAAGACTGCCTTTAATGGGACGTCAACCTCCCCAACCAAGGTGTACTGCGGCATGCAAGTCTCGACAAAGGGATTATCGAGGCTGAGATGTTGAGCATACTCGGGCTGATCGAGGTACTGGTGCATTTGCCTCATCTGTCGAACCCGATCGTGAAGTTTTTCCAAGCTCCAAAGGTGGACGACGCTATTCTTGTAGTCAATGACACGAACGCCAATGCACGGCTTCTGTGCTTCATCAAGAGCAATGTCGTCGCCTTCGCCAGTCAACCCATTCAGGACCATGTCATAAGAGGAACATAATGAGTGGCCAACGTCGATGACCGTGAATTGGAACACCACGCCTTCGTCCAGCTCGTTGCTCATGATCTGTGCCTCCTTGAGTGCAGAAGCATGCTGAAGGACCGCTTCGGCCATGCGCACGTAACGCCTGGTCCGCCAGTGCTTGACAACTTGTCGGGCAATTTCGAGCTCTTCGTCTGATAACTTGGGGTTCGCCTTTGGCCGCTTGAGTGGATCCATTTTCTCAAGCTTTTCCTCGAATTGTCGGCGCTGGACCTCAAGTTGTTGTTGCATATCTTCCTTGATAGTCTTCAGAGTCTCCTCCATGCGGACCTTTTCCTTCTTGATCTCTTCGACCTCGACGTTGGCTGCTTCCGCAGTCTTGAGCTGCTCCTGGTACTCTTCCTTCTGCCTGTCGAGCTGAGATTGCATCTCTTCCCGCACCTCTCGCATCTTGTCGTCGACTTCGCCTGGCTTCGGTGTTGATGGCATGGTCAGAGCCGTGTCGAGTGAGAAGTTGTCAATCGTGCCGGTTGACATGTACTTCTCTCGTATAGGGTAGGAAGTGACTGATTCCGTGTCGTCATCTCCATCGCGTCCATTGACACGCTCTGCACGAGCTCGCTGAATCCCTTCAAATAAAGCATTTAGCTCGTCGTCCGTAAGACTCGCCAGGTTTTGGTTCGGTCCAAGGATAGCCTCTGCTGCCTCGCGGCGTGCAAAACTCCAATCGTTGTCACGACCTGGGCGGAAGGGAATTGGCGAGTCCGGTCTGCTGTCACCAAAGTCTGACCCAGCCTTGCTCCAATTGCGCTCATGACCCGGGCGAGGGCTGGCAGATGGCGTGATTGCCTTCCCTTCGAGGCCCTGCAGCTGACTTGCCGTAACAGACTGGCGGAGAAGGCTCTTGTCGGCGCGCTCCTTCTGTGCCTCCATCGGGTGATTAAAACGGAAAATGTGGAAGTCGCCTAGGATCACACGATAGCCGGAATGAAGCTGCTTAGGCTCTTCGATCCGTTTTCCGTTGACCATCACGGACGCGCCTTCTCTCGGGATAATCATGACGGTACCGTCTTGCTGGTTTTCGAAGGCGCAATGGTCGTGGAGAATTCGCGTCCCGTTAAGACGAATGTTGGCTTGATTTTCGGCGTTGGTGTCCATGTTTCCAACTGTCGTCAGCCCTGGCTTCAGATTGTACACCAGACACTCAGCAAGTAGTGGATCGTCCGAAAGGTTAACCAAATGAGGCATCTTCTTGGGCGTGGACAGCCCAATAAAACCTTTTTCGATGCTGATGCCGAGTTCCTCGAGAGCAGCCTCACGCTCTTTGTGGATCTCTTCAGTTTTTTGCAACTTCTGCTCCCAAGTCTGATTAAGATCCGATAGCAGCTTCTCACTTTGGTTGAGTTGCTCTGCGATTTCGGCCTTGGATACTTTCTTGACGGCGCCATCCGAAGACGTGATGGAGACGAACTGTTTCTCCAGCGGCGTGCCTTCCGGGTAGACCTCTTCAGCCGTGATAGTACCGCCTCCGGCAGCTGCGCCAGCGGCACCTGGAACTCCACCGCCGCCCCCGAGTTGGCCCCTCAATAGAGCTAGTTCTTCCTTGAGCTCTCTGATCATGCGCGCGTTGGCGTCCTCGTTGACCACGGCGTGGTTCTTGATTCTCTTGGCTGAATCGGCGTAACGAAGTGTACTCAAGGTTTCGTCGTAATTGATGTCTGCCGGACTGATAGCTGCAATCATGGCTGTCATACTGTTTCCACCTAACGAGTCTTTGAGCAGCCACGTGAGGACACTGTCTCTGTACGGAACCTGCCCACCGGCGCCCTTCTTCTTCTTCCCCGTCGAGATGTCCGCAAGGGCTGAGATGACACGACCCAAAGAGGACAGCGATCTGTTGATTTCAGCACCTTCCTTCAAGCGAGCACCTGTGGCACCCGTTGAGGTAGCTCTTTCTGAACCGGCCAAATCGACTAGACTGATCTTGGCTACCTTTTCCATCTCCATCTTGGTGTCGGGATCGAACCTCTTTTGAGTGAGCATCAGGGTAAAAACAGCGTGACTTCGACTGGATGTCTCGTTCATGTTGGTCGCCGCGACTGTTCTCGCCTTGTTGCCTTCATCCATCAAGTGCTCGATCTCCTGAAAGCTGCCAACAACCAACTTTGCCAAGTCTTCGACATAGGGACCAGTCGAAGGATGCTCGCGGACCTTGAGGTTGCCCTTAGTTGACGGGTTGAGCAGATCCCTCACACGTTCGTTGTAAATTTCGAGATACGACACCTCGACAGTACAGCGCAAGTGCTTGTCCTCCTGAAGTGTTGAGATTCTCCTAAACATATCTTGGCAAATGTTCGGGATGATACCAACTTCCTTGCCGTATCCCATCATAGAGTAGGATTTTCCGGAACCCGTTTGACCGTAGGCGAAAATACAGTTGTTGTAGCCCCCGAAAGCATTGTCGAGCAGGGGCTGACCGAGGTCATCGAAGAGGTTGTCTTGACCAGCATAATGGCTATCTTTTCGGTCAAAAGACCAGTATGACCTATCGAAGGCGAAGACTTTCTGACCAGAATCCTTCTGGCCCTTTTGTTGAGCATCGGATGGCGGGGTCAACACCGTCTGGTTATCTTTCATTTCGATGATACATTTTGAACCCCGGTCAATCTCTGTGTCGCGTCAGTCGGTGTCCGGTCAATTTCCTACCATCGCAGCCCGCCGTGCTGCAGCGGAAGCGTTTCTGGGACGTACCTCGACTGTTAAACGGTCTGACTCTCACCACCACCTTAATATTTCCACCACCGGCTGGAGGCATCTTTGCGATTGGTTTTGGGGCACCTGCCGCCCGACTTCACGGCACAGATGTTGCCGGTTGTACGGAAGGCAGGTTCTCTGCAGTAGCCGACCGCGATGCCGTCTCGACAGAGACCTTCAACTCCTGCCACTGTGTGGCAGCGAGGCTGGAATCCCTATAACGTCGTTTTCTGTGTCGTCGATAGCCCTTTCAGTAGGTGGGCGATATCATCCTCCGGGTGTTGAGGGGTTGTGGGCTATCTCGGCGGGCAGCCGTGGATCGCTGGGCGTGATTCTGTCGCTTTCGATACTCCAGAACGGTCACTGGAATGACGCAGCCAGGGGCCCCGCAAACAAGGTGGTTGCTTCGGCGGTCGAGCACACGAGGTCTCCGGTGGGCTCTCGCAAGGCTTCGTGAGCGAAATGGAAATCGTTTCGGGGTCGTAGGGTCGTGATCGCGTAACACAAAGGGGATTTGTCGTTGAGCAGAATGCGAAATTACGATTCGGTACGGAGTACTTCGGTGTCAACAAAATCTCGGAAGGAGGACGCGGTCGGTCGCGCACCGCATGACGGCCCTCTGCAGGGAAAGAGTGTCGCTTGATTGGGTCGGAAATTAGCTTCGCTCAGGGTCATTTCACGTGCTGATGTGTTCAGCGGGGTGGTCAACAATGGTTCTCATTGGCCTCTGTCTCCCTGACATAAGCAGCGCGAACCGTGGTGGCCCGCGCGCTGGGCGTTGACGGCTCAATCCCAAATGCAGGTACAAGCAAACTGCTCGATGCCTTTGCCATTACATCAACCCCAAATCCAAAATGACGAGCAGATCAACATCCAGGATGGCTCCATCAGCATGTCCAGATGCAATCGTCGTCAAATGACCCACACCTAGCCCTACAAGAAACGTCAACATGGCTGCATCGCGGCCGGCCTGGCCCTCCGTCCCGAAGACTGTTCTCAACAACCGACTTAAGGTTACGGCAAGATCCTTCGCTTGAAACCGCCCAGAGGAACTCAAGAACGCAGGCGCCTCGACCGTCGTCGAATCAACGCCTATGTTTGGATCTCGTTTTCGCAATTTGCCAGCAGTCGCAATAACGTGTTGCCGCAGCACTCACATTCCTCCTCTTTCGAATCTTATGCCTTGTTCTGAAAACCATCTGCATCCATCCGGGACAGTTCATCTCATCCTGGGGCAGCCTTCTCGGGCCATCCCTGCCGAATCGTGAGCCAAACGCGTGTATCCGCCTGTCAGCCCGTGTTCGATACCGACGAACTGGGAGGTGTGCCAGCGGGCTTTGGTGCTCTCACTCACCGTAGCACCGTCTTCAACTTCATTCAAATCGCAAGCCGCCATTCCATTGCGTCTTGGTTCAGTCTCAAAGCGGGCTGTAGCACCACTTACCCTTTCCGCACTGGAAATCTTCAAATGCGGGGGTTTTTTCTCTAGAAAAAAACAGTAAGAGTCCCTTCACGAAAAGAGAAAAGAAGCGCAGACGAAAAAAGCAGACCGTAAAAAAAAAAAAAAACCCCCCCGAAATGTCAAAAGAATTCACTTGAACCCTCAAACTCCAACGATCAGATAATGGATCACCAGGGCGCTGCGATTGCGCTGACCTGACCATTGGGCCATTTTGCTCTTCTCGCCTGGTTGAGAACAAAGTAGCAGAAGCAAGAGCATGTAGGCAGTCACCTGAGGTGGTCGCTGTCGCTCCTGCCATCTTTGACCATGTCAGTCTGCCCGAAACTGAGCTGTATATCCGCGCCAAATCTGATCCAGATGTCGGCCGTCAGCCGAATCGCACTTGCTACCAATCCTCGGGGCTTCCGCATCGGCCGATGTATGCGCTAATCGGCAACTAGAGACTTTGCTAAGCAGCCTAAACGGGTGTTCCTGGTCCGTTAGGTCAGCGACACATCGGGAAATGGCGGCGATCGTCAATCGACTTACACAAAACCAACAACGTTTCCAGCCACCAGACTTGAACCCGTCAGCCACAGTTTCTCTGCCTCTGTCGATCACTAACATTGGTTCTAAACCAACGACGGTCGGCACACTGCTAAGACAGTCTGCATAACTTGGCATAAGTCGACATTGTCAGGATTGGCTGTACGAAGTCATTCCCAAGTTAGGCAGGCCGCTGAGACTTGCCCTTGAGCGGAGGCGCCTCGTTTTTTATCTGTGACAACCACAACACGCCCTCTCGTGGGGCAAATGCCCTTCCCCCGGGTCTCAGAACAAAGCTCCGAAGATAACCTTCTCGACAAGTCTTTTTCTTCAAAGCGCGCCCCTCCGATACGATGCCTGCACTTGCAGATTCAGCGACAGTTCCCCGGTGTCCCGCGAAGGAGCTCCTGTTCAGCCAGCCACCAAGGACCACCCCGGCCGGCCCCCAAAACGCAAGGATCTGCAAGGACTAACACGTTGGTACCATCAGACGCTCCAGTCTTTGGTACCCTCAACCTCTGCGAATGCCCTCCTTCGTCTTCTCCTCCACCGGTCTGCAACAAAATATATCTACGCGAATGCACGCAAGAAAAGCCCCTTCCCCACTACCCTTCTACAAGGTCTTCTAGAACACCCCTCCATCCTCGTGTCGTGGCTCGCCTCCGTCTCAGACAGAGAGCCCCTTCCGAGTCTTGACCACCACCACGGATGGAACGCTGAGGAGGCGATGGGAACTCGGCCTCTGCAAACTCCTGCTCGCTTGAACCTCTGAGAAATCCTCGGGTCCGACGTCCGGGGCTCATACACACACCCTAAACACCATCAACAGTCCCGTTCACGAGGAACAGCCCCCCGTGTTCCAGAACAAGCTTGTCGACAGCGTGCCCCACAACGACAAGAAATCCGTCCCTTCAGGCCCCCGAATGCCACGGATTTCTGGATCCGCCTCGGCCGCAACAGGCCCCCATCACGCCTGCCACTCTGCGCGGGTGGCGGAACCCCCGTCACCTTTTCTCAAACAAGCTCTCAGCTAAGGTAACGGGGGGCCGGGCGGGCTTGGAGTCTTGACAGCTGCTTAAACAATAGCCGTCTGCCCAAAACTCCCCGAACTGTGTGTCTCCTCCCCAGCGGCGCCTTTCGTCAGAACGTGCGCGTCTGCGGCCCCAAGATCCACCGCTGAACCAGAAACGAAGCGAGGCTCACGATGCAAACCACCAAAAAAATGCCCAGCACTAGTGTTTCGCTGCTCTGTACCTGTGCCGTGCGCCCAGATCCAGCTCGTCTCTCAGGCAGTCAACCCCGGCGAGATGGCCCTCCTCCTGGCCAAACAAAACCGGTGATCGCCGTTCTGAACCCTTGCCGATAAGATGCAAGTAAGCTCAAGGGCCCTTCACAATCACACGACAGGGGTCCCGAGTTTCTCAAACACTCAACGTCCGGTTGACCCGTGCCGGATCCGGACGCGACGCCGCTCCATCTCACCCACGTTTTTTTTTCCTTTTCTTTTCTTCTCCTGGTCTCTGTCATCCCGTCTCCCACAAAGGCAAAGGGAGAAAAAGAAAAATCCCGGGCCAGTGACTTGCTCCCCCGGTTCCGTCCGCCGTCCTGCATGTCGGAAGGGCACGTCGCAAGAACGCATTAGCTCGAACCGGCACCGTGCCATATTGAAGATGACGTCCGCCGTGCCGTCATAACCCGCCATCACTAACACACAAATCTGCCAGACCAGTCCATTAGGAATTAGTGCGCAGTATCCAGCGAAAATACCCCATCGAAAGCGACTGACATTGAGTGGCAGGAACCACACCCGGCACCACCAAACCCAAAACCTGAGGTAATATAGATTGAAGCTTACGATTATGATTACCAGTGCACCTTAAGTCGCCCGCTCGCCACAACTCAGCGAAGGGGGTGGTGCCATCCCGTCCAATCTTAACAGAGCCTTAAGTTAACCAAGGAACACGTAAACCTTCACTGTCGCGTGCAATACCCGCTGCCCGCATCCGATGGACAGAGAGGTGTGGTTCTCTGTCGCCTCGAACTATGAACGGAGTGGCGGCCTTCCCGCCGTTCGAGCCTTCTAGCGGCGTTCTCGACTCGTGGCGGCGTGGTAGCAGGTTCAGTCTGGGCAAGTCTATCTGTGGCGTCAACGGTAGCACTGGATTCCGCCGATCGCCGCTATTTGCAACTGTACGGGTTATCTCGCATACTTGGCACGATTTCAACTAGATTTTTTTGCTTGCAACCTCGCAGATCTCAATGGCTGGCCAGCACGCAAGCAAAACCAGGCCGTAGAACACCACAAGTCTTGGCGGCGACCAACGACGCTACTAAACAAAGACTCCAAAACGTTTCTATCAAAAGTAGCGCCTCAAACAACAACGGCCACTTCCTAGTGCAAGGGAACTAAAGGAGCCGCAGATCAGTGACGCACGCCGTCGCCGTCGCCGTCGCCGTCGCCGCCGCCGTCGACCGTTGGGGCCCGTTGCATACCCATAGTCGCCACAAACCCGGGCGGGGAAAACTCCAAGAAACGTCCCGTGTTTTCAGAGAAAACCCGGCCAGGCGGCCGCGGCAGCCCGACCACTCGGATCAGCCGCCAGTCGGGGACTTGACTGCGTCAACCCATGAGATCATCAAGCAGGTCCAGGATCCCGCATCAGACAGGCCGAAAACGTTTCCGAAGCGTGGTCTGGTCTCTCCCTCTTGCCATGAACCGAGTCGGACTATTAACAAGGTGTATCGTGTAGGATCGACATCGAGGATGTGTGCCGCCCCTCATCTTCTCTGACACTTGCTGACTGTGCTTTTTGCTGCTGGACTGGTTGGAGCCTCTACACCAAAAAAGGAAAATCGAGAACATTGCCTCTCCTGCCCGCCAGCGACTGGTCTGACCGGCTCCCAATTCTATTGAACATCCGGACCACACAAAGCGCGTCACTCGTGCGTAATTGCCCAAACTCTGTGTGCGCGGCGGCTACTTGTCCGCCCCTCCCTCCCCCGATTACGTTCTAGCTTTCGCAGGGCTTTGTGGAAATCGTGCGGCCTGCTACGTAGCTGAGTATTGTGGCATG